AAATATGTTTAAGGGAGGAAAGAAGGGAAAATGAATTATTCTTGAAAGAAGAAAGCAGTGCTATAGGCTTTTATTATCTATTAACTACCCAATAAAGATAGATAATAAGATAGGTAATAAAGAAAGAGTCTCGACATAAAGTAGCCTTACTCCTGACAAACAAGTGAATAAATGTTGGTTCTAATGAAACAAATTTAACAAATCTGAAGTCAAAAATTGGTTAAAATGGGGGAAAAAAAACAAAACATCATAATCTGTATATCATTCTCTTATATAAACTATTTCCATCTCTGGCCCACTTGGCTACAATTTCTGTTTGAACTGTATTACAAAAAAAAAGAAAAAAAAGAAAAGAAAATAGAGAGATGAATCATGTAGTCGTTCTCGCATCATACAGCTCGCAGTCTTTCCAGCTTCCACCCCCTGACAGCGGTCGCCGTTTAACACCGATCTTTGGTTTTTTGCTTGCGTGTGAAAGTGGAGTGAAACGGCTGCGAGGGACTGAAGTGGGTCGTGGGTAACATGTTGCTATAGCAACTGCCGTTCGTCGGCCCCAGGCCCAAGAAAACGCTTTTCTCTTGCACGTTCCCCCATTCTTCTATTGCTCTGCCTTTTTCCTCTCACCTCCTTCTCCTCATTTGCTCCCGGCCCACTCTTTACCTCTCCTCTTTGGTCTCCCTTCTTTTATCTCTACTATTTGGTTTCCTCTCACCTCACAGGTTCTGCTCAACATTTTTCTCCCATTTTCACCCTTTTGTCTTGTGGATATCGTCGCTATGGCAATAAAACCAAGGAGGCATCCGTTTGCATCTTTTCTGAGCTGTCCGTCACAAATTGAGGTTGAAATGTACACAGGATAACAGTCAGCTTTGTCCTGCAGAATGTAGCAGAGATGGTCATTAATCCTTAATTGCATGTCTGTCAAAATCCGAGCTACTCCGTCCCCTAACATGAACAGAAAGGTGAAATTCTTCGGTAACGGTTTTGCTGAAAGTTATTTAAAATGATGTATGATGCGATATCATAACAGGGGGTATAACACAGTGTCCTGGTGATTAACTCCAGCTTGCTTAATAAAGCACAGCGGTGACATGCAGTCATAATTCAAAGAAAATGGCAGTGAAAGGGGACAGAGGAGCGAAGACAGCGGTAGTGAGGTATAAAACGAGGCAGATAGGCCAGCCTCGGTGTGTCACCTAAATTCTACTCTAATGAATAGCTCATTGATTTCCATTAGGAGCGGCTCAGGCTGACCACTCCAGCCTGTCTGCTTCCCATTAGCGCACTTTTAAACTGAGGCTGACAGTCGTAGCCAGGGGTAGACCAGATACAGAAAAGAGGCCGCTCTGTGTTTAAACCAAACTTGTGAATTCATCCATGAAGCTGCATGGAGTCAGGGGAGAAAGACAAAGATATAAGTGGAAACATCGAGGCCTTAAACAGCTTCCATCCTGTCATATTATTCACATCTATTAAGAAAGGATATAAAAGGAAGGAGCATATCCCCGATTTGTAAATAGAACACTAGCTCTAAAAGGCCTGTTCAAAGGAATAAAGCTAAACGATGTAAAGGACTGTCGCAATATTGGCTGCTCTACACCTTCGGAGGACTTGGCCCACTTCTCAGTCCTGCCATCCAACTTTTATCAGCTTGACTCCTCCACCAGCCAGCTTCCTTCATTAACAGGATTTGGATCCGTTACGTAATCAGCCTCCACTGGGTTACATAAGGCAGAGTCTTCATCAACAGCAGCTCAATAGAAGGAAGCTGATACATCTTCAGATTTAAGTATCTATCAGCATCAACTTTCACTTAACTTCTTATTCTTTATGTGAAAAAAATATTAATTAAAAGTAGTCTATACTTATGTTATGGAAGCTAAACAAGTTGTTGATTTAATCTAATCCTTCTTGATGAGGGACACCTGGGGAGTAAGTAAAACACCCAAGTGTCCAAATAGTGTCCAAATTTTCTGCCCTTCAGGCCAAAATTGTAAAATAAAAGCTGGAGCGCATGATTAAACACACAAATCAGATTTTTCTATTAAAAGGGAGGAAAATTAACTATAAAAAAGAAAAAAAATTGTGTTTTTATTGTTCTTTTTTTGTTTTTACAAGTAAAAACATGATTTCTTCCCCTTAATCCCACATGCTTTGTATTGCCATTTATCAGCCTGCAAGAAGGTTTTTTTTTTTTTTTACAAAACAGACCAAAATGTCATTTTTAAAGATATTAAGAATCATGAAAAAACTGTATAGTCATTGTGTGTATTGTCTGCTTCTGTCTCATTGAACCCCAGTCTGCCTCGGCAGATAGCTGCTCACACAGAGCCTGGTTCTGGTGGAGGTTTCTTCCTGTTAAAAGGGAGTTTTTCGTCTCCACTGTCACTACAAGCATGCTTAGTGGGAGGGATTGCAGAGAGTCAAAGAGTTGATGCAATCAACTGGTTTTCCTTAGATGGAAAACAATGGTTTTTTTGAGTTTTTATGGCACTATAACTCATTTTTCTGAGAGTAGGCTGACAGGAAAGGGGGTATGAGAGAGACATGCAGCAAAGGGCCACAGGTCGGAAATCGAACCCAGGTCTGCCACATCGAGAACTAAGGCCTCAGTACATGGGTTGTGTGCACTAAACACTGCGCCGGCTGCATGCCCAGATAGAAAACTTTTAATTAGTTTGACTTTATGATCTGGCTGAAGTGTCGTTATAAAGTGCCTTGAGATGTGTTGTGAATTGGCGCTATATAAATAAACTGAATTTCAATGAATTGAATTACGGAAACGTATAAACTTATAAAACAACAGTTGGAAAATCCCAAATGTTGGCCTGTAAATGTTTTCTACATAAATGTTTTCCACAATTTCAAAATACATTTACATATATTTGATGTTGTGCAGTTAATCGGGCTCCAAATTAAGATTTCCTTCGTTTGAAAAATATAAAAAATTAAAATAAGTGGACACATCTCCAAACACTATGGTGGCAATGTTCAGATATGATCCTTGGTTTTTATTATTTTTTTAGATGTGCATCAACCATCAGTCATATACATACTCTGCCTTGGATTTATGCTGGTTTAAGTAATGGGTTGTAAATCAAGATTAAGAATTCTTTGGATATCTAGTGGGTTTTTTTTATATGAGCAGGATATCCAAACATCTCTTAAAGCTAACAAATTCTGTTTTAGGTAAAAATAAGTCTGTAAAATATTGTATATTGTTTTCTTGAAGTTAATTACTGCCATATGTTGATTTACACCTTATTCAACCTGTATGATTTCTCGTCTTTTCTGTTGTCGAGTGGAGTTAAGAGAAAGGGTCTTACCTCTATGAAATAGGAGGTCTTAAATCTGTAATTCAAGGTTTTCTAGACCCAACTGTGGTTAGATAAGACAACAGATATTTGCAAGACATCTAGAGAATGGTAGATTTTTCTATGATTGCAGTATGATTCATGCTTAAAAATAGTAGGATTTTTTTCTCTCAATAAACATTTTCATTAGACATTCTACCGTCTTTACTGAAATTTTAAATAAATATGGAGAACAAAGGAATAAACACCATTTAGCTTCTTTTTCCTTCTACTATTGTGTTGTTATAGATTGCTATTGCTTCCCTTAGGGAAGCTCAAATCAATTGGCTCTTTTAAACCCATCAATAGCAACTCTCTGCAGGCTATAAACTCTACCGTGCCTGAACTCTGTATTCAAAAATCAAATTACATCCTGGTGCGTTTCTGGAAGGATTTCAGTGAGTTTTATTTTTATTTTATACTTTTGTTATTAGGTGTCACAGATATTGATTAAGGTTTAAGCGGATAAAAACCATTAGTGGATCTTCGCTCTTCGGTTGTGTGGATCTAACGCTTTCACAGGAAGAGCTGTCATGTGTAGTTTAAATCATAAAGAGCCATGCCTGCCACTAAGTGTGTTATTCACTGATGATTGGTGAAAGTGTCAGAACAGATCACCCTACATGTGTAAAGCCACTGGTGTACCTTTAAAGGACATGCACTGGGTTTGGTCTGGACCAATCAGAGCCTCGGTCAGATTCAACCCACTTGTGAACATCAGATAACGATGCCAACTAGAGCAGGCTGTCATGGAAACAGCTACATAGCACATGCACACACGCACAAGACAGTTCATTTTGTCTCTTTTTACTCCGAGAGTAACTTCCCGCTTTGCCAGAGGAGCTATTTTAGCGCGTGTTACATAAGACACAATTCGAGTTCAATGCAATGCTTTTTGCTCCAGCTTCTCTGTTCCTGGAGCAGGATGCATCTGCAGCACCTGTAGACCTAAACCCATAAATCACACAGAGAACTCCATGCTTACTGCTACGGCTAATTGAAAACAAATGCACTAATTCAACCTTATTACTGCACAATGGGCACAGGTAAAATATAGAGGATTTTTGCTTGCTAATTAACTCTTGGGTAGCCTCTGCTACCCGATTCAGAGACCTACCTCATTCTAGCCCTGATTAGCTATAAAAGGAAGAGATATGCTTCAGCTTTTACCTAAAAAGCAGATCACCGGTATGCATTTGACCACCATACCTACCACTGTAGTTCTAATCATGAGGGTTTCTTCAACAGAAAAGAAATAAATGGACACAGAGCGGTTTGTTGTAGTGCAGCACACATGTAAAATGCAGCATCCCCTGCAGAGCTCTCAGTAAACACTTACTGTGAATCATGCTATGATCAGTGGCTTAACGTGTCTGATGGAGAGGTATGCTCCGCATCAAGGCTGTTGAGTTTTACAGAGAGTGTCGTCAGCAGAGCTAAACAAGGCACTCTGGGATGTTAGACTCTCTTTGTTCTTTCTTATGAAAACACAGTTGCCGTTGAGCTTTTTTTGTGTGCTTTCTTTCATATCTGACCTAAATTCTTTGTTCTCAGATCCTCCCTAATGCTTTCGTAGCTTTGAGCTTTCTTGCAGCTAAATGCAACAGGATAAGTGGAAGTAATCCTGCTCTTCCTCTCCTTCTGCAGGATGTTTCGAGTGCTGCATCAAGTGTTTGGGCGGGGTGCCCTATGCCTCGCTGGTGGCCACCATCCTCTGCTTTTTAGGTGTGTCCCTGTTTTGCGGCTGTGGGCATGTTGCGCTTACAAGCACACTGACCATGTTGGAGAACCATTTCTCTACGATCACCACTGACCACGCCACCCTCGCTGCAGTGTAAGTCCTCCGAGTGTTAAAATAAGCCTTTGCAGGAATCTGATAATATGCTTTATGTCTAGAAAAGTAATGCAGCCCATTAACCATTGAATTTTTTTGTTTTTATTTATCTTTTTTATTTATCTTTATCAAAATAACAAACCTCTGGCACCACTATCAATTGGCTGCTAAATTAATTCAACTGAATGAAATTCTAAGTTTTTCTGTAACTAAGTTGATTACATAGACTCTTCGATGTTTATTTTACTTCATAACTACCTTCTTTCCTCCAGTTTAAGCATTTGGGTACATAAAGAAACATGAAAAATCTCTGAGAGAAGAAAAAAGCAACCACTTGGAGTCCAAAACTTGCAGTAGAGTGATTGGAATCGAAATACCAGCCTGGCATAAATGCATAACAAAGGCTACATTGATAAGGCAGATTAATGCAAACCCAAATATTTTTTTTCTGTTTGGAAAAAAAAATTACTTGTAAATTATTTTTTCATGGCGGTCTGCCTGGCCGCTTCTATATGTGGTACTTAATTGGATATGTCTTAACAGTCATGTCTCATTTTATCCAACTTTTACGTCATTGCCCTGGCTCCCACTACTTATCCACTCTGACTTCTCAGCAGCAGTAGAAGTCACTGCTCGATGTTATTAAGGTTTAAAAAAATAATCAACTGTATTTCGCCAAAATATTGCAACTGAGCATCAAGACCTGTTGGGTAAATGTAGACAAAACAGTGTGGAATTCTGGAGAAGTCTCTACTAAGAGCATTAACTTAGAGGCCTGACAATCCGGCACATTATTGAGGGAATAGAGATTTCTCTGTCATCCTAAGCTTATCCTGGAAATCACTCCATAGTTCTGGCAAAAAGAAAAACCTAAACAAAAAAGATCTAATTTATCTTCCAGTTGTGACCAGCATTGTTACCTGCAGTACATAGGGATCACCTCTATGATTTATTTCAGAAAAGGTGAGATTACTCTACAGCAGGCATCGCCAAAGTCGGTCCTCGAGGGCTGCTGTCCTGCAGGTTTTAGAGGTTTCCCTGCTCCAGCACTGCTGATTTACATTGATAGTTAATTAACAGGCTTTTGCTGAACTCCAATCATCAGAATCAGCTGTGCTAAAGGAGAGAAACCTCTAAAACCTGCAGGACAGTGGCCCTCGAGGACCGACTTTGGGGATGCCTGCTCTACAGCATCAAGGCAAGGAGAGGTTGTAATAGCTCCCTATTTCTACGTTAGAGAGAGTGTCATGGAACTTCAGTGATCTAGCTGTCAAAATCTTGTGCCACTCATATGCCTTTGACTTGTCTGCTGTTGGCTCTAAAAGTAACTTTAAGCTAATGCAACCTTTGTTCAGAATGGATGTTAAAAGGCCGATGCGCAATTATTGTCAAAAACTCATCACTTGGCTCAGTAACCAGAAGTCTGGAGAGAGTTTAAATCAAACAGAAATTATTGAATACAGTGGTAAGTTTTTGCTTTGACAGGGTAGGTAAAAAGCCAAAAAGATTTCATCACTCAATTAACTTTATGCTCTGGAACAGCAGGTTGTTCAATATGCTGGTCTGGCTGTTGACTCCCTGCCCAAGCCATCTGTGCTATCCGTATACTTCCTCTTCCTTCAGATTTTGGTTTATTCATTCATCTACGTCCAAGCTTAAACCTATTTCATTTTTTTTTTTTTTATGTTAACTTTCATAAATCTGGATAGAAAGGCGTTTCTAAACCAGCCTTTTTTTTCTTCCTTTCCATTAATCTCATCCCCATTTCCATCTTAGAAAATCTTTGTAATAAATATGCTTTATTAATCCTTCGTCTATTTTTGTCATCGCCTTCAACGCATTTACATACTCCTGTTAAAGAGACAGTTTTTGTCAAACGAACAGTCCTATTAACATGAAGTTCATGTCACTACCCTTATATGGTGGTCTGTTCCTGTATTTAGGAAAGCTGGATTACAAATACTCTTTGGTTCAAAAAAGACAATCCACACTGAAAGCAAAAAAAAACAAAACAGAAAAGTTGATCAAATGCTGCAAGGCTAATTAAGCCTGCTCGATTCTGGAGCTTTTATAAAAATGACCTTTGAGGTCAGCTAATGTAATACATTTCTTTTTTTTCCCCACGTCTTCATTGGTGTATTTATTGGTGATGGCACCATCTTCAGGCTCCTAATATTGTTAACCAAAGCTTTAAAACCTTTGTAAACCAAGGTAATTTTGACGTTAAGGTTTGTCTCCTGTGTCCAGGATCCAGATCTTTCAGTATATCATTTACGGCATCGCCTCTTTCTTCTTGGTCTACGCCATCCTCCTGCTGGGGGAGGGCTTTTACACCACAAGCACCATCAAGAAGGAGCTGCAGAGTGACTTTAAGACAACTATCTGCGGACGTTGCATCACTGCCTTTGTATGTCAACACAGCCACTGTAAACTAAATCAACTAGATGAATCTATGAGCTTACTTTTGTTTTACAAGTTTCTTTATTAGAATATGAATGTATGTTTGCATCAAGTTGCATCAAGTTGTGGAGATGTGTTGTGTTTAATTCTATACTTAATAGCCAGATCCACACAAATGATCCCACTTGAATTATACTTGAGCCTTCAGGGTTACTTTGGCACAGTTTGTCCTTTCCAGCCTGATTAAGTTAATTACTTCAGATGTCCGGTTAGATTAGCATGGAAGCAAAATCTGACGCATGTGTGGGTGGATGGTTAGGGCTTTATATAGTAATCACCTAATTCTCAGTGCATTTCAAACATTTTCATAAAACCCCATCGCCTGCTTTCTTCTTCCCTTCCTCTGTTTAGTTCATGTTCCTGACCTACGTCTTCACTCTGGCTTTCATCGCCATCTTCTGCTTCACGACGATTCCGGTTTTCCTCTTCTTTAACATGTCGAATACCTGCGCTGCCATGAAATCTCCGGACTCCAACATCACGTCTCCTGACTCCATCTGTGTGGATGTCAGGCAATACGGTCAGTTGCTGTCCTTTCATTTGATTTGTGGGTCTCTGGTATGATGTCACTCAGGGTGGCAATAATGGGGATCTTTTGAATTTTAGGGGCTGTAGAATTGGGTAAGGGTAAAAACTTACTTTCAGAAAGTAATATATGGAATTGAAAGATTTACAGTAGTAGCCATTCGAATTGTCTCCATTTTCCTGGCTGGTCCATGGCTGGTCCCCTGCAATTCCCTTTGAAACATCAATCTTTGCACTAAAATATTCTTTCTGTCATGATTTATGGACATTAAGATCTAAAGAGAAGCACCATCACCCTGTAATTCAGTGAAAGGGTGGAGTCAGAGTAAAATATATGCATACACAGCAGAAGGAGGGGGTCACTCCTGTTGCTGGAAGTTGGAGGGGATTCTGCTGGGAATTGCAAGGAAGTTGGCTGCCATTCGGCTGGCGTTTGACTGGGAAGGGCTATATTGAAGGGCTGCTATTGTAAACCTAAAAAAAGACGATAGATTTCAAGCACAGTTAAATCAATTGGGTTTGAAATGAAGCAAAAGGACACTATGGTTATATAGATATTGCTTTTTAATAAACTTAAATAATATTCTTGTTTTTCAAGAAAATACATTTTCTGCTTTTTTCGTTGTCACCCTCAAAATCTGTGCTCACCTGCTGCACCTTGCAAATGGATCCAAAACCATTTAGTCTTGATTGTATTTTCTGTAGATTTTATGTGACAAACCAACACAAGTTAGCATCCCAAGTTTCAATATCTCATCAAGCACTGCTTGAGCCATTATCTGAGAAGGAAGAAGTATAAAACCTACAAAGATATGGTTGTCTAAAAAAAAAACTGCAGACCATGAAGAAAGAGAATCAACCTTTAAACTCTAGTGGAGATCCAGAGCTTAGACCAAAGGATCTGCTGACAGCAAAGTCGAAAACCTTGCTTTTATTGAAAATAACAGAATAATATCTACGTTAAAACATAGCATTGTTTGCAAAAATAAAAGCTTTACACCCGGTTCATGACTTCATTCTCACCATAAAAGATGTTGCTGTTAAAATCAGACAGACTTTAGACTATAGAATGGAGAATGGCCTAAAGAGCTACAGGAAAAGAGGTCAATCAGGGTGCATTAATGTGTTAGAAAGTCCAAGTCGAAATCCTGGCATAACTCTGGTTAATAATGAACGAGACTTAGAGTTGATACAGAGATGTACAAATTATCTTGCAGAGCACAAAAATATGAAGTCTTTAATTTGTGATGTTTTTACAAACACACCTCAGAAGGCAAGGCAAATTTATTTGTATAACACAATTCATCACAAAGACAATGCAAAGTGCTTTATATAATTAAAATATAGAAAAATAAAACAGAATCAAAGCAAGTAGGAAAAAAAATAAAAAGAGAAGACAGAAGACTTTCCTGAAAAAAACAATTGCGGATAGCAGCATTTTTAGATATTTAAAAATTATTATTTCTGTGCTATATTTCATGGTGTAAGGGTAGTTTCGCAAGATTGTGACAAATCCAAAAATACAGAAAATATATCTTTTATATTATATTTTATATGTACATCCTCTTTGAATATTGCATTTGCAGCTGCAAAGACACTCAAACATGCATGCTGTGTTTCTTCAAACCTCACGCAAATCTACCCATCATCAAGGAAAACTTGGATCTGCAGTTTACAAAATTCAGCAGATTTCCCTTTACATAATAGTCCCAAACCCCTTTAACCCATTTAAATGGGATTCAGCACATTTAAAATAAAATACAGCCCACAATAGTTTTTTCTCACAATATTTTTGGAGGTTTTCAGCAAAAAGCTGCATTCTATGACTACATATGTGGTTAAATGTTGGATGACCTAATGAACATGATTTGACCCACATTTAAAAGACAGCTGGCCTCCCTACAAAGTAGGATGAGGATCACATATGCATCAATGGCTGCAGTGCTGCACTTTCATGCTGCAGAAAAATATTAACCCCATTAACTTGCAGGCATCCAATTATCAGTGGATACTAAAACTGAGGAGGGATTCGAGTTTATTTGTGATTGGAACAAGAAAAGAGGACAGATTACATTAATAAATGATATTTTCAGCTTATACGAGCAAATAAATTTAAATTCATTCTGAATAATGACCCATATTTTTCTAACGGCAGCAGCGATGTTTCCTTTAATCTTCCTTTCTGCTTCGTTTATAATACCTTCAATCTCCACGGTGGAATAAAAGCCTGTTGTTTCTCTTCGGTGACGTTTCATTTCTTTGATCCTGCAGGCATTATTCCCTTGAACGCAACACCTGGGAAAGCTTGCGGAAACACGCTGACAGATATTTGCATTACCAGCGAGGTGAGTAGGAGATACTTTTTTACGTGTGGTAACGTTGCTCTTGTAGAGCTTCTCTAACCTCCCTGTTTTTTTCTTCACAGTTCTACCTGTCCTTCCACCTCTACATCGTGGCGTTAGCCGGTGCCGGAGCCACCGTCATTGCATTGGTGAGCTCCCATAATGGATCCGCTCAAAATATGCACGTTGCCATGCCGCGCTTATCTGTTGCCGCGGCAACCTCTCACGTAATGTTGTACTATCAGCTGAAATCCTGCCCTGCAGCCTGCTATGTCAGTGTGTGTGTGAGTGTCTGTGTTTTGCTCCGATGTGGAGGCGGACTTTTTGTGTCCTGGGAAATGCAGACGCCTAAAAAAATAACATCTTTCCACATGTTTTGCCAACTCACCTAAATGCCCTTTGGCTTTTGATGTTGTACAGCCACAGTGTCATGAAAACAGGAACCATTTTAGATGTTTAGGTAGTGAAAAAGAAAAACAGTCTGAGGACCCTGAAGCCATTAACAATACTTTCACCCATTCATAGTTCTAAAGCCCCTGTTACACCTTGATGATTTAGACCAGCGTATGCCTGATGTACAAAACAATCTGGCAAAAACGCTGGCATACGTTGGTTAAGTTATGAGCACGCTGAAACACGCTGGCACACGTCGACATACAGCAAGTACGTCGAGAAATTTCCCAACATATGCCAACTTAGGTCATAGATCATAGCGGGCTGTGAACAGCAGCTAGGTTAATATCAAAGAAATCTTTTTATGCAAACCGGGCTCCTCCGGGTGCATCACTGCCCCCCTCAGGACACTGGCTTGTGCATCATTTTATGGGTATTACACTGGCGTGCGTTATGCATAAGTTAGGCTGTTGTTGGACATAAGTTCTGGACTCGTTATAAATATGCTATGCATACGCCCAAAATTGAAAAAATACATTGAAAGTTCAGCGTATGCCAGCGTTTTAGAAGATTCTGGGATGTCGGGCATATGCTGGTTAAGTCGGCAAGGTTTGACAGGTTCCTAAGCTACATCTTGATGTGGGATAGACATACAGAAGAAAGGCTGTCATACAATTTACACCACCAAAAGCTGCCATCAAGGCGGGACACAGCCCCAAACCAACAACCATTAGTTAAAGGCTGATGAACTTGGCTGAAGGGACTTAAATATATATATATTTAAAGGACAGGATGGTAACGATGTAACTTTGATTTCAGAAATTAAAATCGTACTTTTGTTTCCCGTCTCTTAGATCCACTATTTGATGATTTTAGCGGCTAATTGGGCCTATCTGAAGACTGCAGCTTCCACGCACGACTACCAGGACATCAAGACCAAGGATGACCAGGACCTGGAGGCCGAGGCGCGCTCCAAGGATGGCCAGAACTCCTCCTCCTACTCTTAAGGACAAAGCGTCCTCTTTTGCCATTGTTCATCTTTTCTCCAAATCTTAAACCCATCCTGCAACAACCTAGTGCCCACCCCCCTTCCCCCTTCCGACAAAACAAACCACCTCGGTCATGTTCGGCAGCCCCCAAATCTCCTGATTCTCCATCCTCTTCGCTTTACCCAGATGTTTTTTTTTTGTTCTGCTCGGAGACGCAGAGTGCGTTCTCACACTTAAGGGGAAGAGGATAGAGGGTCAGGAGGAGCGGCAGGCCCAGACGGAGGCGGGTGCTTCAGAACGGCAAAGCTCGCCCCGCGCCGGGGGGTCGAGCTCAGGTACAGTACATCGGTTTTTAGAAGCGCCTCTTCCTCCCCCTCCCTGTGCTTTTGGGCGGCGGCTCGTGAACGTGGCCCGGCTGTGATGGCCTCGCGCCCTGAGCCAGCACAGCCTCTCAAACACATAGCTCGTATAGAAAAGAAAAAAAAAAAAGAATAAAAAAAAAAGAAAAACAATGTTCACTGTGTGCTTCAATCACTGGGAAGCACCACAGCAACCAAGCTCTTCTGTTTTTTGGTGTTTTATATGCATATATATATATATATGAATATGAATATATTGTGCGAATGTGTGTGAATGTTGTTCTTTTTTTTAATACTCTGAAAAAGTATGCCAGGTATTGTTACAATCCCTATGGATTTTTTTTGGGCTCATAGGTTTTTTCTCTTTTCTCCTTCAAGTTTTTTTTTTTTTTTTTCCCTCACCTTTGACTTTTTATTGCTTTTGCTCCCAACGTTATTGCACTATTCAAAAATGAATAAATGGGGGAGACTATGATCCCTTCAACAAAATAAACCCTCCTTTTTTTTCCCCCCTCCAAGAATGAATAATTCAAAGAATGAATAAATAAGGTAATACCTCGATGATTACTCTTCCTTTGCATAATTATATTTTACCTCTAACTTTCTTTTAGGAGTTTAGAAAAATGTGTTAGTTTGCTCCCACGTCATGCATTAGATGCTTTTTTGCTAGGAGGTCATAGAAATCCTCATATCCAAATGTGCAAGAATCCAAGTAACCACACCAAATGTTACTGAAGACTTTCCAAGTTTTTCTTATCTTTTTGCTACATTTATCACCAGCTGAAATAAAAGTCAATGACAGCGCCCTCTACAGTTACTTGCACCAGTGGTTGAAATGCGTGAAATATCTTAAACAAGACATTTATATAGTAGTCAAACACTATTGTATGGTGGTGGCAGCATCATGCTGTGGGGACGAAGTTCCTCCAGTCATAGAAAGCTAGCGTTGGTAGGTGGATCTAGGGCAATCCTGGAAGACTTCTCGGTTCTAATTTAACCCAGATATTAGATTTTATATACCATTTCGTTGTCACTGTTTCAAAGTGGACAAAAAAAAAAAAACACAGTTCTTGTTCAAATTCAGTTTTAATTAATTTAGCTTTTAACCAGGAGCTATTTTTATTTGTTGCCATTTTAGGATTGATGAAAAAACTCAACACATAGCTAATTTAATTAAATGATAGTTTCAGATGTCTTCAATATTTAAAAGAGTGCCTAACACAAACAGGCATCGTTGTCACGGCTTATTTTTAATGTTCAAAATGTCATTTACCAGTAATTTGGGACCCGTAGAAGTATATTGTGACCAAAGTAGAACATTACATTTTAAGAACTGTTCCCCCCCCTCTCCTTCTGTGGCTTAACAGAAAATGTTTGTTAGCAAAACAAAAAAAAAGCGATCCCAGAATAATATTGAATCCAATTTTTTGCTTGGTTATAAAATCATCTGATAATCTCTATTTTAGCTTAATCTCCATCTTGATTTTTTTTTTTTTTTTTTCTTGGCATGCAAATATATTAAATCGGATCATTTTTGACTGTGGAACAAAGTTCCTAGACAATTAATACCCACATTCCTTTTAAATTAAACAATTTTTTTTTGTTGTTGTTATATTTAGCTGGAATTGTTAAGAATGCCACTAATTACAGACTGGTGGATTTTGTATTTTAAAACAAAGAAAACAGAAAAAATATATATTTTTTACATTTACCTGCTGAATAAAAGGTGCTCAAATTAAAAGTTGGATTTTTCTAAATTTTCTGCAATAAAAAAGTCAGTTTTGATTCCAACAATTTTAACAAGGGTGTCTTTAAATGTGGAGGGCGCTGTACATCTAGGTCTAAAGAGAGACACACACCTCAGGTATCAAACCAAATCTGATTTGGATTTTATCTCACATTAATCGCTCAAACTGACCTAATTAGTGCTCCACCCACCGGTTCCTCTTTTTTTGGGAACAAAACCTGTAAATAGCAGAATCACCCTTAAGAACTGATCCATCCCCCCGAACAAGAACAACACAATCAGTGTTTTATTTCATCCATTCTCTTTTATTTTTCTTGAACAATGTAAACGTACCCTTTGAGATATGTGTTTAGCACTCGAATACTAGTTCTGCATTTTTGATATTCTAATTGTAATGTAAGATCTTCAATTCTGTGTGGTGAGAGGGAAACAGTTCAGTCATGATATATGATGGGTTTGAGGTGATTGTGACGTATACATCTAAAAATGTGAAGATGAAAAACATGGTTAATGATTTTTTTTTTCTATATTTATCCATTTTAGGCAGCTGGGTTCTTGTGGTTTTAACATTTTATGAAAAATGTTTGTGCTTCTTTCTTTTCTAAACGGCCAACGAGTGGCTTAAGTCACTTTTTCTTGTTTTGTTTTTTTCCCGCTTTTGGAATGCCATGCCTCTCATACAAGCCACAAAGACTGTTTTGGATGTTTACACTGAATAAAACAAGGCAGGAATTTTCATACATTAATTTTATAACCAGATATGTTTTGATAATCATGGCCTACACTCTAAATGAATCATAACCGATTAGGTAACCCTTAAAGAAATAGCTAAATAAGACAGATTTTTGATGAAATGAAGCATGTCAGTATCGTCCATGTGCACAGCTGTCTATTCTGTATAAAAAAAAAAAAAGGACTTTATTGCCATGTGTGTTATGTTGAATAAATATCCGTGCTTTGCCGGCAGGTTGATGTAAAAAGGCAAACTTAAATTTCCTATAAGCCGATGATGCGCGTCGGGTTGGTGTCGTTTCCTCGTTATTTGCATGAAGGAGACATGACTGTGTCTTTGCAGTTTTTTCAGGTGATGTGTAGTCATTTGTACTGGCAACTATGGTAGGCCGCAGTGTTTTTTGCCCCCTTCTCCACCCCTGCTCTTTTCTAAAGAACTCCATTGTACTTTGATGGCAATGTAGTCCCTGTAGGTGTTTCATTATGGTTCTTTTCTCTTTTTTTTTTAAAGTTGGAAATAGTTCTATGACTCCTCTATGGTGATTTTTTGTAACCTTCTCTAGTAAAACCGATATTTTTTATTATCGTGACAAATGTGTATTTTGTCTCTTCCTTCAGGTTGTGATTTTCATGAAAAGTCTTTAAAAGGTTATAAATTAACAACCATGTGTCTCAATTGTCAGGGGTTACATAGACATCTTGCAAGTATGATTGCAAAAAAATATATTTACTTTTTCCCCTTTCTTTTACAGAAGGATTAAACTAGGGAATATGTGTATAAAATTTAGGATTTTATGGTAGATAGCTCTTAATTAAACTTAATTAAATTGCATAACGCCTCATGCAACATGTCTTTAAAGGCCAATACTGTACATCGGCCAGCCAATATCAGTGTTTTTTTCTTGCATCAGCTGAAGCCTGCATACTACTGACAATTCATCAGTGCATTTAGCAGCTATACTTTGGCATTGCGTGATGTACATGCATTGCCGCCCACCTCTATTTGCTATTGGTTGCAGTTTTCTATTATTTTATAAGTTTTGCTTTTTATTTTACATCACATTTTTTTAAACACTGGGCCCTTTATCATATAAATGCAGGACATGAAGCAATAACACCCCAAATAATTGTCCCCAAAACAACTAAATTAGCAGCACATATTGGGGAAATGTTGGAGTGATGTCAAAATAATCATGCCTTAAAAAACCCATATCAGTCAATCGCTACTAAAAATACATAGAGTTGCCAAATAGTTCCAGCTTATTGAATTCTCCTTAGGGATTTAATTCAGCATTCAGTGATTAGTATTTATTTGCATATTAGTGTGAAAAGAACCATCATGTTAAAAATAGGCCAAGCACATTCCCGTAATATTTTATTGAAGGTGTTATTCTGGTCATAATTATTACAGTATTTTAAGTATCTATCTAACTGTTAACACATTGGACGAGGAATTAACTTTTTTTTTTCAGAGCTATAACTCAGAACATGTTAAGAAGTGAAATTTTTGCCTTTTGGCCATTAAGAAGTCCCTTTCTTATTTGTTTTTCCACACCTATTCATCATTGTTCTTTGATTGCAATGCATTTAATTAATTATTTAAAAAAAAATTGCCAAGCTCTATGTACTGTATAACCAAAATTTCAAGAAATTGGTAAAAATTCAGCTTATTTTAACTTCTCTAAAAATTACAACAAAAATAAATTTCACTGTTATAAATATGAGACATACTTAAACTACTTTTAGTATAGTAATCATTCACATGTAAATATTGCAATTTTCTCAATGACAAAATGTTAATGGAGAAACTAAACTTTTTCCTGCAGGACCAATTCTCTGTAGCCTATCTGAATCATGTAAATTGTACAGGACAGTTTAATATATTGAATGAAAAACAGCAATTTTTTGTGTAAAATAACGCTCTATACGGAGAGTAGTGCAGAGTATTCCTTTTTATCTTGGTATAAGTAAGTTAAAAACACAACTTTTAACTAATTTCCCAACTGATAAATCAAAGATGTCAACAGCATTCGAAAATGTTATAAGTTTAACAAGAAAATGTAGCTTTCTTTTTATTGCTTGGGTTGTTTTTAGGAAGATACCTAGAGGTTTTCCTCATCACTGCACAGGTGAAGCCACTTTATTCGGCCAATCAGTGTTTGAGAAATTAATGTCCTCTAGTTTTTATTTACAAAAGCAAAAAGTGAAAAGTTAGTACTTATTACAACAGAAGATGGCATGCTTTAAACAAAATAAAAGGTGGGAAACAGTTGAGTGTACAGATTTTAATTACAAACATGGCATTTTATTTGTCAATGTTTAAAACTGTATCAAAAGGAACAGATTGTTTTCATGTTTTCCAATAAATTATGTGATTAAGCTTTACCCAATAAGTTTAAACACTGTATGCGCTTCTGCCTAACCAATAGAGAGCTTTAAATCTTCCAATTTACCACAGCATTCAGAACAACCGCCTAGTTTTGACTTTAACCCTGTAGCACTTTGGCGCCACCATGTGGAATAAAAGTGTACTGTGATTTAAAGTAAAGATAATTTTCAAAGTTATTTTTGAAATCATCAAAAAAGGAAAAACTTAATTGGAGGCGTTTAACTCAACAGAAAATTTAGAAAAAAAAATAACTGTGATGAGGGAATAATTTCATAGTAAAGAATTAACAGCTTGAACTCAAATTTTTTCAATGAATAGCTTCAGTCCCTGATCTCTATGAGTAAAGAAATCCATAATTCAATGAATCCACAATTTCTTTTTAAGCCAAAATGCAATATTTTCACTCAGTTAAAATGATAGGAACGTGTTTTGGCTAAAAAAAAAAATAATCAAAGAGAAGGAAGCTAAATTAAGTGGGTGGGCAACTTCTCATGTCAACCCAGGACTAAAAAAAAAATAAGAAAAAAACATTTAAATCCTCTCTTTGAAGGCAACAATTTATAAGCACATGTGTTGGCTGTTTTTGATTCACCCTAGAAGATATCTGATAAAAAAAACAGGAAAAAAAAAAAAACAGTATATATTTAGGTTTAAACATATACGAGTCCTAAATTTATTTTTCATAGTTTAAAATGCATCCAGCATTTCAATTTAAACAAAATAAAAACATTAACCTTAAAAACGATCCTGGTTTAAGCATAAATAGGAGCATACAGAACTATACAGCAGCTGCTGACAGCATCAACGAAAGGCATGTGTGATATCCAGTGTTTAACAGCATTTGGATTCAGGCCGAGGCTTCTTCTGCAGGTTCACAGTGTTGGTGGGGATCAGGGGTTCATCTCTATCCTCAGATGCCAGGAGACGACGTGCTGCTTCCTCAAAGGCTGATGCTACATTTGTTGCATCCTTGGCGCTAGTTTCAAAGTAGGGAAGTCCTCCGTTTTCCCGGCACCACTGGCGGACGTCCTCCCCTGATACCTGACGGTCAGGAACATCCACTTTGTTGCCCAGTACCACAAACGGGAAGTTGTCAGGGTCCTTCACGTCCGCGTAGTAAGTGAACTCTTTCTTCCAGTTTGAGAGATTCTGGAAGCTTTGTCCGTCGTCCAGGCTGAAGGTGAGTAGGCAGCAGTCCGAGCCGCGGTAGAAAGGTGTTCTAAGGCTGCGGAAGCGCTCCTGTCCCGCCGTGTCCCAGATTTGCAGAGTGACCCGGCGCCCGTCCACCTCCAGCTCTTTGTTGAGGAACTCCACGCCTATTGTATGGAAGAGGTGAGAGTCGAACTTGTTGGTGACGTAGCGGTTCATGAGGGACGACTTGCCCACGCCTCCATCACCTAGGAGGATGACCTTCAGCAGAGTGGACTTGGCCATCGTGGAAACCAGGGGCTGAGTAATCAAGGAGGTTGGAAATTTGAGCTGAGAGGCCACACAAAACCAGAACCAGGAGTCGGACCTAAGAGGGAAAGCACATGTCAGACTAAACCTTACTATATTTAGCAGGTATGAAAATCACAGCCGATATCAATATCCGATATTAATATTGGCAATTATGGTTGATAACTAATATATGTTTCCCAGCTCTTTACGACCAACATTGACTGATTTAATGATGATTTATCATACATGCCTTATATTTATAGCAGTAAACAGGTACTTTATTCTTATTAAATTATCTTCATTCTAATGGGTTAATCTGATTTTCTTTTAAAGATGCACTGATCCGACATCTGGATCGCATTTCGACTCCGATATTGACCAGTTAACTGAATCGGAAATCCGTGATGATGTATCAGCTAGCAGAGATACAATCCAGCGTACATTATAAGGAACTATTATTGTTTTATTTTAGCTGCTTATTTCTTAATAATATAAAATACATTTATATCTGCACTGATTTAGCTTTTCTTTCTGTTTATGTGAAGATTGAAGCTTTGATTCATTCAACAGTTGAATCAGATCGCTTATTGGCTGATATGTTCAGTCCAAGTATCGGTATCAGAGTGGATTGGAATAAAAAACTGGATTGGTGCATCTCTAGTTTCTTTTTTTTTTTCTTGACCAATCTCAAGAAATAATTCCTACCCAAACACCAACAACAGTGGTTTGATACCAGGTCTTCCTGGGTACAAACTAAAACTAAATACTAAG